GCGGCAACGCGGCCGACGCGACTGGGAGGGCACCACGCGCTCTGGTTGACGGAGGGCAGCAGCGAGCATCGGTGGGCTATGATGGCTATGATGGGCTATGATGGGCTATGATGGGCTATGATGGGCTATGATGGGCTATGGTGGCTATGATGGGCTATGATGGGCTATGATGGGCTATGATGGGCTATGGTGGGCTATGATGGGTTATGATGGGCTATGATGGGCTATGATGGCTATAGTGGGCTATGATGGGCTATGATGGGCTATGATGGCTATAGTGGGCTATGATGGCTATGATGGGCTATGATGGGCTATGATGGGCTATGATGGCTATAGTGGGCTATGATGGCTATGATGGGCTATGATGGGCTATGATGGGCTATGATGGCTATAGTGGGCTATGATGGGCTATGATGGGCTATGATGGGTTATGATGGCTATAGTGGGTTATGATGGGCTATGATGGCTATGATGGGCTATGATGGCTATAGTGGGCTATGATGGGCTATGATGGGCTATGATGGCTATGATGGGCTATGATGGGCTATGATGGGCTATGATGGGCTATGATGGACTATGGTGGCTATGGTGGCTATGGTGGCTATGGTGGGCTATAGTGGGCTATGATGGGCTATGGTGGGCTATGATGGGCTATGATGGGCTATGATGGGCTATAGTGGGCTATGATGGGCTATGGTGGGCTATGATGGGCTATGATGGGCTATGATGGGCTATAATGGGCTATGATGGCTATGATGGGCTATTATGGGCTATTATGGGCTATGATGGGTTATGATGGGCTATGATGGGCTATGGTGGCTATGATGGGCTATGGTGGGCTATGGTGGGCTATGATGGGCTATGATGGGTTATGATGGGCTATGATGGGCTATGGTGGGCTATGATGGGCTATGATGGGCTATGATGGGCTATGATGGCTATGATGGGCTATGGTGGGCTATGGTGGGCTATGATGGGCTATGATGGGCTATGGTGGGCTATGATGGGCTATGGTGGGCTATGGTGGGCTATGATGGGCTATGATGGGCTATGGTGGGCTATGATGGGCTATGGTGGGCTATGATGGGCTATGATGGGCTATGATGGGCTATGGTGACTATGATGGGCTATGGTGGGCTATGATGGCTATGGTGACTATGATGGGCTATGATGGGCTATGATGGGCTATGATGGCTATGATGGGCTATGATGGGCTATGGTGGGCTATGATGGGCTATGATGGGCTATGATGGGCTATGGTGGGCTATGATGGGCTATGATGGGCTATGATGGCTATGATGGGCTATGGTGACTATGATGGGCTATGATGGGCTATGGTGACTATGATGGGCTATGATGGGCTATGATGGGCTATGATGGGCTATGGTGGGCGATGATGGGCTATGGTGGGCTATGATGGGCTATGATGGGCTATGGTGACTATGATGGGCTATGATGGGCTATGGTGGGCTATGATGGGCTATGGTGGGCTATGATGGCTATGGTGGGCTATGATGGGCTATGATGGGCTATGGTGGGCTATGATGGCTATGGTGGGCTATGATGGGCTATGATGGGCTATGATGACTATGGTGGCTATGGTGGGCTATGATGGGCTATGATGGGCTATGGTGGCTATGATGGGCTATGATGGGCTATGATGGGCTATGATGGCTATGATGGGCTATGGTGGGCTATGATGGGCTATGATGGGCTATGGTGGGCTATGATGGGCTATGATGGGCTATGGTGGGCTATGATGGGCTATGATGGGCTATGATGGGCTATGGTGGCTATGATGGGCTATGATGGGCTATGGTGGCTATGATGGGCTATGATGGGCTATGATGGCTATGGTGGCTATGGTGGGTTATGATGGGCTATGATGGGCTATGATGGGTTATGATGGGCTATGATGGGCTATGATGGGCTATAATGGATATGATGGGCTATGATGGGCTATGGTGGCTATGATGGGCTATGATGGGCTATGATGGGCTATGGTGGCTATGATGGGCTATGATGGGCTATGATGGGCTATGGTGGGCTATGGTGGCTATGATGGGCTATGATGGCTATGGTGGCTCCGGTGTGCCGATGAGTCTTGCTTGGGGTGGAACCCGTCCACCAGTGGTCTATGGCTGCTGCTGCTGCTGCTGCTGTCAGTGAGTGCCACGTTTTGCTCAAATGAATTGCGGTGGTGACCCAAAACAAGACGGGCCACAGTGCACCTATAATAGTTTTTTTTAACCCTTTTTTTCTGGCAACAAAACTGAAACCTCCTTACGAGGAATCATGTTTGCATTAACCACAATACTTGCAGTCAGAATGCAAACAAAAAACACACTCTGATAATGTATAACATTGTCATTTGTTGCCAGAAAAAAATGGTAAAAAAAACTATTATTATATTTTGCTACTGGCAAAGGAGGCCTCATGATGTAAACACAGTGCACCTCTTCACGAAATGCATGATGGGGGTGGTGGTGGTTGTTCGCGTGGTGCACATGGCAAGAGAGTAATTGTTGGTGGTGTGCTCCTTACGTCTCTGTGCGTCCCCTTAAAAACCTGCGACGGCGCACAGAGAGCGCCGGTTTAACACGCAGAAGGGGACAATACAGCTGCTCTGGGTTAGGTCGCGTAGTCCAATGCTGTGGATTTGCTCTCCAGCACACAGCCGGTGTGCGGCACTCGTAACGAATGGGCACGTTCCGTTGACGTGACTAAACCCTTCACTGACCGGCTGGGTCGGGTGGTGGCGGGTTTAACGACACAGCCACATAGCTACAGTCACGTGGCGTGCCAGGCTGGTAAAAGGTGGTTGCGGGTCTGCGGCTGAGTGTTGAGTGTTGTCGCTGTTGTCTTTCCCCCGAACCTCCGGTTAGCGCGGGTTGGCTACGTACGGTGCGAGAGAAGTTCAACACACGTGCGCGCACACACACACATCAGCAGAGGGTGGTGCAGCAATATCCACCGATGCACTGTGCGTCATCCCCGATTGACCGGCACGGGTGACGGTCAAAAGCCCCCCACGATCTGCTGCTGCTGTTGTACATTTTGAGTTTGCGTGTCTCTCTCTCTCCCCGTGGTCACGTGGATTTTTCTCCGGGTCCTCCGGTTTTCCCCTCCACATTTAGAATCAACACCACTACGCCGTTTAGAGTGTTTGTCCGATATAAATGTCCACGTGATGATAAGCCACTTCGCTGAGCCATCATTTGCGATCGACAGGTCGCTTCTGAGAAAAAGCCACGTAACTCAGTGGGCCCGTACCTTGTGAGATAAAACATCGTTTCATCTCGATTTGACATCGTTCAGTTTATAGGTTAGTTTAGCACGGTGCCTGGGGGAAGGAAGCCATGACCGCAAGATCAACAATCTTGATTTGCAGCTTTCGTGACTGCAGGAATCCATACTCTTTGGTTCTTTCGGTAAAGTCACGTAGGTAGAAAATAAAATAAAATAAATCACGGCGTTTCGATCGCAACACAAGCGTCCGTCATCAGGCGATAAATAGTGATGACGGACGCTTTTGTTGCGTCCGAAACGTCGTGATTTATTTTATTTATACCCACGTGACTTTACCGAAAGAACCAAAGAGTAATGACGCGATCGCTTTACCTTGTAGATATGAGCCTGGGCCGTGTGTCCGAGCCTGTCCAACACGTGTCGGAAGTTAAACACGTCGGCTTTCATCATGGGATCTCCTTTGCCAGTACCAAAATATACTAATAGGGTTTTTCCCCTTTTTTCTGGCAACAAAACTGACACCTTTTGCAAGGAATCATGCTTACATTAACCACAATACCTGCAGTCAAATGCAAACAAAAAACAATACAATTATCAGAGTATTGTTTTTTGTTTGCATTTGACTGCAGGTATTGTGGTTAATGTAAGCATGATTCCTTGCAAAAGGTGTCAGTTTTGTTGCCAGAAAAAGGGGAAAAACCCTATTAGTATACGTCGGCTTTCGTGATCAATATCATCCATAATAACGTTTTCTGGGGGGTTAGATCGCGTTATTAGGTTAGATCGCGATCTAACGCCCCAAAACAACTGTATTATGGACGAGTCTGAAGCTAATAAGTGCAGAGAATGTAAAGTTTATATTTCCCACGAGAAAGAAGCCTCTCTCACTCTGTCTTGCGAGGCAATGGATATCACCTTGCCAATGTAATTGGACCTCCACAGCCTGGCCATCAAAATCTCTCCTCCTGTTGCAGAGGGCAGCGGTGTTATCGAGGGGCCCCTGCTGTGCGGTTGTTACCTTGCTGTGGTCTGGGACTGTTGTGTTTGATGCCGTGCCCAATCTCGATAAATCGGACTTGTATGAATAATAATTTATTTGCATTGTCTCACTTCCTTGCCCATTATTCTCTCTTGTGTTCCGTTTGTTTGTTTCTTTGTTGTACTGTCTGCTCCACCACACTACACCCCAATCTCCACCACACCGCAACCTCCAGCACACCCCACCACAACCTCCACCACAACCTCCACCACACCACAACCTCCACAACCTCCACCTCACCCCAACCTCCACCACACCACAACCTCCATAACCTCCACCACAACACACCCCAACCTCCAACTATTCGCATGCCTATCAATTAGTGTCAATTTGTTATTCCGAGTGAAAAGTCGCTCATCAGAAGACGTTTTGTCTATTACATCGACTTTCCATCATGCCCCGCGGTGTGACGTGCAGTCTCCAGCCCTTAATCCCTCTCCCGCCTCTCGGTTGATGTGCTAACGAAGAAGGGCCATTCCCCGAAACGTCGCAGTGTTGCTGACGAGTGTGTTGAGTTGTTGTTGTTTATTGTGCTTGTGCCACCGCCACCGTCACAGCGGCACCAACTAACGATTGCCCCACTGTGCCAGCATCACGTTACAGACACCTCGTAAATTCAAAGACACGTGCCATTGTAATGTCACCAAATCGATGTTTTGCCCCCCACCACTCCTCCTTCCACATCTCTCTCTTTCTCCCTAACCCCCCACAGTGTTGGTGTCATGGTGCTCCGCCGCTCCAGACTACAATTACGACGACGACGACGAGACGACGCAGGAACCGGACGTGTGCGGCAGCTGCCACGTGAACGCCACGTGCATGACCAAGGACGAGGCCCTCAAGTGCGTCTGCAACAAGGGCCTCTCCGGGAACGGGAAGAGCGCCTGCAGAGGTGACGCGAAAGCTCCGCGGTCGTGTTTGTGATTCTACTTAGTATTCCTGGCTGATCGTGATGGAGCTGTCTGACTGATTGTGGGGGAGCTGTCTGACTGATCGTGATGGAGCTGTCTGACTGATCGTGATGGAGCTGTCTGACTGATTGTGATGGAGCTGTCTGACTGATCGTGATGGAGCTGTCTGACTGATCGTGATGGAGCTGTCTGACTGATCGTGATGGAGCTGTCTGACTGATTGTGATGGAGCTGTCTGACTGATTGTGATGGAGCTGTCTGACTGATCGTGATGGAGCTGTCTGACTGATCGTGATGGAGCTGTCTGACTGATTGTGGGGAGCTGTCTGACTGATCGTGATGGAGCTGCCTGACTGATTGTGGGGAGCTGTCTGACTGATTGTGGGGGAGTTGTCTGACTGATTGTGATGGAGCTGTCTGACTGATTGTGATGGAGCTGTCTGACTGATCGTGATGGAGCTGTCTGACTGATCGTGATGGAGCTGTCTGACTGATTGTGATGGAGCTGTCTGACTGATTGTGATGGAGCTGTCTGACTGATCGTGATGGAGCTGTCTGACTGATTGTGATGGAGCTGTCTGACTGATTGTGATGGAGCTGTCTGACTGATTGTGATGGAGCTGTCTGACTGATCGTGATGGAGCTGTCTGACTGATTGTGATGGAGCTGTCTGACTGATCGTGATGGAGCTGTCTGACTGATTGTGGGGAGCTGTCTGACTGATTGTGATGGAGCTGTCTGACTGATTGTGATGGAGCTGTCTGACTGATTGTGGGGAGCTGTCTGACTGATCGTGATGGAGCTGTCTGACTGATTGTGATGGAGCTGTCTGACTGATTGTGGGGGAGTTGTCTGACTGATTGTGATGGAGCTGTCTGACTGATTGTGATGGAGCTGTCTGACTGATCGTGATGGAGCTGTCTGACTGATCGTGATGGAGCTGTCTGACTGATCGTGATGGAGCTGCCTGACTGATTGTGGGGAGCTGTCTGACTGATTGTGGGGGAGTTGTCTGACTGATTGTGGGAGTTGTCTGACTGTGGGAGCTGTCTGACTGATCGTGGGGAGCTGTCTGACTGATCGTGATGGAGCTCATTGATCGTGGGGAGCTGTCTGACTGATTGTGGGGAGCTGTCTGACTGATCGTGGGGGAGCTGTCTGACTGATTGTGGGGAGCTGTCTGACTGTGGGGAGCTGTCTGACTGATCGTGATGGAGCTGACTGACTGTGGGGAGCTGTCTGACTGATCGTGATGGAGCTGTCTGACTGACTGCGTGGCAAGGCACTGCCCTCTGTCTATTCCACGTGTACCACGTGTTATACGGACGCGCGTTCGGTACCCATCCAAGCACTATCCGGGCTCAACCCTCGCTTAGTTGTTGAGATTTGACGAGACGGGGTGCATCCCACGTGATCCAGGCAGAGGCTTCCAATGGGTAACAAATTCTCAACGGTGATCCTCCCGTGTCACTGGTTTTTACCACGCCGAGTCCTGCCTGTTGGCTTCTGACACATCTTTTTTTGTATTTCACCAGGTAATGCCCCCACTGAGCTATGTATGGCTCTTTTTCACAAGCGACCTGGTTCTCACAAATGATAGTTCAACGAAGTGGCCTATCGTCATGCGGAAATTTACAGCGGCCAAATGCTCCAAACGCGTGATGTCGACTCTAAATGTGGAGGGGAAAACTGGAAGGCTCGGGGTGAAATCCTCGCGACCACGGGGAGAACACACACCCTCCAAATACACAGCAGGAGAAGTCAGGGTCGGGATCGAACTCACGATCTCCTGCGTACCAGTCGAGGGAGTTAACGTCTCGCCACCGCGGCGCCCCCATCCGATGCGGGGCACAATCTGGGCGCTTTGGTCATTTTGGCACCCCCCCCCACTCCACCCCCCGGCCCATCCTTGACCCTGTCCGTGCGTGCCCCCCCCCCCCCCCCGCCACGACCCCGCACAGACAACGACGAGTGCCGGCTTGACGTGGAGATGCTGTGCGGCACGGGCACCAGCTGCTTCAACACCTTCGGCAGCTTCTACTGCCGCTGCGCCGCGGGCTACCTCTCGTCCAGCGGCAAGCGTGACTTCGAGCCCAACGACGGAACGACGTGCGCAGGCGAGGCTCGCGCCCTACCACCGTCGTCATCCACGCGGTTCGAGCCAGGCGACCACCCTGGCTAATCTCTTCCTCCCTTAGTTTCAGTTCCCTTCCCCGAGCCATTGGTGGAACATTCGCAATCCACGTTCCACGCCGCCACCACACGGCCAAGCGGTCAGCGCGCATTGCAGTGTTGCAGCGGTTCGACACCAGCGACCACCCTGGTTATTCTATTTTTTTCCTTCCTTTGGTTTTAGTTCCCTTCCCTGAGCCGTTGGTGGAACAATCCACTTTTGCGGAGAGTCAATTTCTCTTACGGGTCTCTCACTGTCGTCAGGATCGAGAGTGAACCCACGACCTCCTGTATACCAGGCGAGGTAGTTCACATCTCCTAGCCACCGTGGCCCATCCACACCGCCCGCGCCACGTCGCTGATCCGATGCTGTGCAATGCTGCTGTGCGCCCCGCAGATGTGGACGAGTGCGCTGGGGGAATCACGGCGTGCGGAGCCGGAGCCTCGTGCGAGAACCGGCCAGGGGCCTTTGCGTGCCGCTGCCTGGACGGATACGTGGCCACCAACGGCACGGAGCCCTTCCAGCCCGGGCGGGACGGAACGTTCTGCGTCCGCGTGGCTACGTTGCAGCCTCCAACCACAAGGCCTCCATCGACAAGGCCTCCAACCATGAGGCCTCCAACCACAAGGCCTCCAACCATGAGGCCTCCAACCACAAGGCCTCCAACCACAAGGCCTCCAACCACAAGGCCTCCATCAACAATGCCTCCATCAACAATGCCTCCATCAACAATGCCTCCAACCACAATGCCTCAAACCACAAGGCCTCAAACCACAAGGCCTCCATCAACAAGGCCTCAAACCACAAGGCCTCCAACAATGAGGCCTCCAACCACAAGGCCTCCAACCACAAGGCCTCCAACCACAATGCCTCAAACCACAAGGCCTCCATCAACAAGGCCTCAAACCACGAGGCCTCCAACCACGAGGCCTCCAACAACCAGACCATCAATCTTCCCGCCACGACCCGCCACACAAGCGACCACCAAGCCTTCCTTGAGTCCGACAGACAAAGAGGCGGCGATAGTGGACGCGTCACTCACAGGTGCCCTTAGGCCGTCGTGAATTCGTCCCCGAACCCAAACGTTGTTTGCTGCATTTGGTACAATAACTCAAATGGCATCACACGCGGCAGTGTCCGATGTGAAATACAGTAGCGGCGGGGACGGCATCGCCTTCCTTTGCGACGATAGACCTGCGCCGTCAGAATGGTGCGAATACCAAATGTATTAAATTATTATTGTTATGACAAATTTGCCATAAGGTGCTCCAGCAAATGTGTTTTTTTGGCTGGTCATCAAAGACGGGCGGACGTGATGCTGGCCCCCTTGCGTGTCGCCGTGCCGGTCTTCATAGGTGCTGCTCGGTAACAGCACTTGCCCCAACAGCCTGTTAAACACTATATGGGGGATCTTTGTCTTGTGTGTGTGCCTCTATACCGCCCCTCCGCTGCGTAGACCTGGACTGCAACGCGCCCCCCGAGCTGAACGGGACGCGCGTGAAGCAAGTGGGCAAGGGACCTGGTGCCATCGCTCACTACAGATGCATCGATGAACCGGAGGCGCAGGCCGGCCAGTGGAGCCTCGTGTGCAGCACAAATGGGACCTGGCAAGGACAGCAGTTCTTGTGCTCAGGTACACCCAGGGAATAATTCACGTCTTGTGCACAGGTACACCCAGGGAATAATTCACGTCATGTGCACAGGTACACCCAGGGAATAATTCACGTCATGTGCACAGGTACACCCAGGGAATAATTCACGTCTTGTGCTCAGGTACACCCAGGGAATAATTCACGCCATGTGCACAGGTACACCCAGGGAATAATTCACGTCATGTGCACAGGTACACCCAGGGAATTCACATCTTGTGCTCAGGTACACCCAGGGAATAATTCACGTCTTGTGCACAGGTACACCCAGGGAATAATTCACGACATGTGCACAGGTACACCCAGGGAATAATTCACGACATGTGCACAGGTACACCCAGGGAATTCACATCTTGTGCTCAGGTACACCCAGGGAATAATTCACATCATGTGAACAGGTACACCCAGGGAATAATTCACGTCTTGTGCACAGGTACACCCAGGGAATAATTCACGTCATGTGCACAGGTACACCCAGGGAATTCACATCTTGTGCTCAGGTACACTCAGGGAATAATTCACGTCTTGTGCACAGGTACACCCAGGGAATAATTCACGACATGTGCACAGGTACACCCAGGGAATAATTCACGTCATGTGCACAGGTACACCCAGGGAATAATTCACGACATGTGCACAGGTACACCCAGGGAATAATTCACGACATGTGCACAGGTACACCCAGGGAATAATTCACGTCTTGTGCTCAGGTACACCCAGGGAATAATTCACATCATGTGCACAGGTACACCCAGGGAATAATTCACGTCTTGTGCTCAGGTACACCCAGGGAATAATTCACATCTTGTGCTCAGGTACACCCAGGGAATAATTCACATCATGTGCACAGGTACACCCAGGGAATAATTCACGTCATGTGCACAGGTACACCAGGGAATAATTCACATCATGTGCTCAGGTACACCCAGGGAATAATTCACGTCTTGTGCTCAGGTACACCCAGGGAATAATTCACGTCTTGTGCTCAGGTACACCCAGGGAATAATTCACGTCTTGTGCTCAGGTACACCCAGGGAATAATTCACGTCTTGTGCTCAGGTACACCCAGGGAATAATTCACGTCTTGTGCTCAGGTACACCCAGGGAATAATTCACGACATGTGCACAGGTACACCCAGGGAATAATTCACGTCTTGTGCTCAGGTACACCCAGGGAATAATTCACGTCTTGTGCTCAGGTACACCCAGGGAATAATTCACGTCATGTGCACAGGTACACCCAGGGAATAATTCACGTCTTGTGCTCAGGTACACCCAGGGAATAATTCACGTCTTGTGCTCAGGCACACCCAGGGAATAATTCACGTCATGTGCACAGGTACACCCAGGGAATAATTCACATCATGTGCACAGGTACACCCAGGGAATAATTCACGTCATGTGCACAGGTACACCCAGGGAATAATTCACATCATGTGCTCAGGTACACCCAGGGAATAATTCACATCATGTGCACAGGTACACCCAGGGAATAATGCACGTCATGTGCACAGGTACACCCAGGGAATAATTCACATCATGTGCACAGGTACACCCAGGGAATAATTCACGTCATGTGCACAGGTACACCCAGGGAATAATTCACGTCATGTGCACAGGTACACCCAGGGAATAATTCACATCATGTGCACAGGTACACTCAGGGAATAATTCACGTCATGTGCACAGGTACACCCAGGGAATTCACGTCATGTGCACAGGTACACCCAGGGAATAATTCACGTCATGTGCACAGGTACACCCAGGGAATAATTCACATCATGTGCTCAGGTACACCCAGGGAATAATTCACGCCATGTGCACAGGCACACCCAGGGAATTCACATCATGTGCTCAGGTACACCCAGGGAATAATTCACGTCATGTGCACAGGTACACCCAGGGAATTCACATCATGTGCTCAGGTACACCCAGGGAATAATTCACGTCATGTGCACAGGTACACCCAGGGAATAATTCACGTCATGTGCACAGGTACACCCAGGGAATAATTCACGTCATGTGCACAGGTACACCCAGGGAATTCACATCTTGTGCTCAGGTACACCCAGGGAATAATTCACGTCATGTGCACAGGTACACCAAGGGAATTAACATCATGTGCTCAGGTACACCAAGGGAATAATTCACGACATGTGCACAGGTACACCCAGGGAATTCACATCATGTGCTCAGATACACCCAGGGAATAATTCACGACATGTGCACAGGTACACCCAGGGAATTCACATCATGTGCTCAGGTACACCCAGGGAATAATTCACGCCATGTGCACAGGTACACCCAGGGAATAATTCACGACATGTGCACAGGTACACCCAGGGAATAATTCACGTCATGTGCACAGGTACACCCAGGGAATAATTCACATCATGTGCACAGGTACACCCAGGGAATAATTCACGTCTTGTGCTCAGGTACACCCAGGGAATAATTCACGCCATGTGCACAGGTACACCCAAGGAATAATTCACGACATGTGCACAGGTACACCCAGGGAATAATTCACGTCATGTGCACAGGTACACCCAGGGAATAATTCACGTCTTGTGCTCAGGTACACCCAGGGAATAATTCACGTCTTGTGCTCAGGTACACCCAGGGAATAATTCACGTCATGTGCACAGGTACACCCAGGGAATAATTCACGTCTTGTGCTCAGGTACACCCAGGGAATAATTCACGTCTTGTGCTCAGGCACACCCAGGGAATAATTCACGTCATGTGCACAGGTACACCCAGGGAATAATTCACATCATGTGCACAGGTACACCCAGGGAATAATTCACGTCATGTGCACAGGTACACCCAGGGAATTATTCACATCATGTGCTCAGGTACACCCAGGGAATAATTCACATCATGTGCACAGGTACACCCAGGGAATAATTCACGTCATGTGCACAGGTACACCCAGGGAATAATTCACATCATGTGCACAGGTACACCCAGGGAATAATTCACGTCATGTGCACAGGTACACCCAGGGAATAATTCACGTCATGTGCACAGGTACACCCAGGGAATAATTCACATCATGTGCACAGGTACACCCAGGGAATAATTCACGTCATGTGCACAGGTACACCCAGGGAATTCACGTCATGTGCACAGGTACACCCAGGGAATTATTCACGTCATGTGCACAAGTACACCCAGGGAATAATTCACATCATGTGCTCAGGTACACCCAGGGAATAATTCACGCCATGTGCACAGGGCACACCCAGGGAATTCACATCATGTGCTCAGGTACACCCAGGGAATAATTCACGTCATGTGCACAGGTACACCCAGGGAATTCACATCATGTGCACAGGTACACCCAGGGAATAATTCACGACATGTGCACAGGTACACCCAGGGAATTCACATCATGTGCTCAGGTACACCCAGGGAATAATTCACGCCATGTGCACAGGCACACCCAGGGAATTCACGTCATGTGCACAGGTACACCCAGGGAATTCACATCATGTGCTCAGGTACACCCAGGGAATAATTCACGCCATGTGCACAGGCACACCCAGGGAATTCACGTCATGTGCACAGGTACACCCAGGGAATAATTCACGTCATGTGCACAGGTACACCCAGGGAATAATTCACGTCATGTGCACAGGTACACCCAGGGAATTCACGCCATGTGCTCAGGTACACCCAGGGAATAATTCACGCCATGTGCACAGGTACACCCAGGGAATAATTCACGTCATGTGCACAGGTACACCCAGGGAATAATTCACGTCATGTGCACAGGTACACCCAGGGAATAATTCACGTCATGTGCACAGGTACACCCAGGGAATTCACGCCATGTGCTCAGGTACACCCAGGGAATAATTCACGCCATGTGCACAGGTACACCCAGGGAATAATTCACGTCATGTGCACAGGTACACCCAGGGAATAATTCAAGTCTCGCTCATTACCTCGCTACTGATCTCGCCAAGGAGCATGAACCATCACGTGAACTCCGGTCATCCTCACAGCAGCAGTGGCTTTTCGGTAACCATCGAACAAAGGCGGTGGTCACCGCATCATCGCGCTGCGCTGTCAGATGCGCTTCTGCGGCCGTCTGGAACGCTCTTCCTTCTGATATTAGGAAGCCACTGGAGCTGTGCTCTTTTAAATTATCATCGAGATTGAAAACTAATTTGTTGCGAACTGCTTTTGTGTTTAGTTTGTTGTCCTCCCCCCGCACCTCCGATTAGCACGATTGGCTACGTACGCTGCGAAAGAAGTTCAACACACTCACGTACATACTCCCCATGCCCCAAGTAACACTTCTAAGTTGGCTTGGAGTAGGCAAAGTCCGCGAGGGCACAAGGTACGCGTCCTATCCAGAATCTTTCTGGGTTATTCTGAACTTCTGTTCCCACAAAACCTACAAGGACTAAAACCGATATCGTGACAAAATCAGGCGAAGGTGGATGTGGCCCGCCAAATAATTCTCCGGAGCGGTGATCGTCCTGTTGCAACATCTCGTGTGCATAGGTAGGAGTGGCAGCGGTGTGGCGTACATATACATGCCTATAGATATGCATACGTACATATAGGTACGTATACGTATCTATATGTATGTATACGTGGGAACAACAAGAGCCACCATCCACCGATGAGTGGTTCCGACGTCATCACAGCACCTGTGCCAGGCTAGGTGCACTTTGAGGCCACGTGAAGTGTCGAAGGCTTGCTGCTGACAGGAGGTCACAGGCCAGACCCGGGTGCCATGGGTTGACTGAGAGTTCCACCACACACAGTCAGAGGTGCCTGGTAATAGACTGATGGGGCTTTTAGGTACTTGAGGGGGTGGCATGGCCACCACCATCACTGGGACCCCTTTGTCTCGTCACTGCTGACGATTACACACGCCACGCCAGTTGCTCATTTGAGGCCGAGTTGACCTAGGAGAGGGCCAAAACCAGTTTAGAAACCACTCGCCGCTGATTTTCAGCCACGACTGGGAATCGAACTCGGGTCGCCGGGTTGATGGTACAGCGCACTGACCGCTGCACCACTGCCTTCCAGGCGGACAGGCAGACGCACAATCCGTATTGACATTGGACAAGTAAAGTTGGGTGGGGGGGGCACGTGGTACCAGAGCGGCCCCAGAGTTGGTGTCACGGGCACCGCTGCAGCACCACACGAGGTGGCGGTGGAGCGGCCCTGGCACGGCTGTCAACCCACACGGCCCTGGCACGGCTGTCAACCCACACGGCCCTGGCACGGCTGTCAACCCACACGGCCCTGGCACGGCTGTCAACCCACACGGCTCACCCCGTGTTCTTGCACAGGGAAATTGAGTTTTCAGGTCCATACGGCGTGCAGCCGTTTCAATACGGGCACAGAGATATTTATTTGTCCATTTGTTTGTGTTTCTCCCTCGTGATGGGACTTTGTATGATGAAGGTAGAGATGTATAAGGGGCACGGGGTGACCAACAAGGTCTGAATTGGTCTGTAGTAAGGTAGGGGGCACTGATAAGGGGTTGGCAGCTGTGACCTTGCGAAGGGGTGGAGGAGCGGCGGCACAAGCGGTGAGCGCACGCCGTGCGATGAACGATGTCTAAAATTGATTTGAAGCTTTCGTGACTGCAGGAATCCATCCTCTTTGGATGTCTAAAATTCCCTCACACCGGCGGTGAGCGAAGTTTCGACCCTTCCTTTTGACCAGTCACGTGACCGACGCGACGGCGCCGTAGCCAGCAAGCCTCGTGCCCCAGCGGTGGATTGACAGCAGAGGGCTGTGAATCAACATTTTTTGTGGAACCATCGCAGATGCAGCCATCGGGAGTGGGTGGTGGGCAGGGGAATGGAAGCCGGCTTGGCCTCACGTGTCGGGGGGGGGGCGACGCTCTTCCCACAGGTGCGCGGAAATCACCGAGCGGCGCCAAAGTGGCCGGCGTCTTGGCGCTCGTCGTTGCCGCTGCTGCGTCGGCCGTAGCCGGGCTCGTGTTCCTCAAGAAAAGGTGAGGGATCGCCTCCACCGCACACGCGCGAGGGAGTCTGTGCTGAAGCTAAACTAACTCGACTGCACTCTGGGAATTTGAAATGCGAATTGAAATCCCGTCACGGCGATGGAAAGACTGGAATATAATTAGTGGAAATTTTTTATATCAACGTTCCCGACTTCCAATAAACCTGATCATTTGTGGATTTTAACTAAACTAAAACTTTTTTTTACTTTACCAAGGAAGGCACCACTGGGCTGCATAGCTCTTGTTGTTCAGAGGCGACCTGACCCACAAATGACAGTTCAACAAAGTGGCTTATCATCATCATCGTCGCGTGGAAATGTACAGCAGCCAAATACTCTAAACGCCGCGTGACGTTGATTCTAAACGTTGAGGGAAAAACCGGAGAAAATTCCATGCGACCACGGGGAGAACATGCAAACTCCGAATATACAGCAGCAGGCGTCACGGTCGGGATCGAACCCACAACCTCGTGTATACCAGGCGAGGTAGTTAACATCTCACCGCCTGTGGCGCCCTGTATCATGGGGGCGGTGACGGTGGCCGAGAGGGCCGAGAGGGCCTGGTGGGAGCGCGTCCACCACCTGTTGCAGGAGCTCGCGGTTCTAATCCTGCAGGCCGCCATGGGTTAATACCGCGGCCGTGTCCGGCGTGAACCCTGACTGCGCTACGCCGTGCCGTGCGTTAAAAGACCCCTGATGGCATTCTAAACGAGTAGGCCCCAAACGCGCTCCGCTGTCGCGGTTCAGGTTTTTGTCAAAATTTGAAAAATGACGCCAAAAGTTCCCTGGATGCGATGACGCGGAGCAGCGACGTCGCCCCCCTACTGGGAAACTCCCGCACACCGCGTGTCTGTGAAACGCAGCGCCGTCGTGACAGCCTTGCGCTACACGAATGGCAAGAAACACCAACTCCACTGAATTTCTATTAGTTAGGAGGCTGTGCGCGCGCGTGCGTATTCGCGTGATGCCGTGCGTCTGTGCGCGTGTGCGTGTGTGTGCGTGTGTGCGCGTGTGCATAATGGGGAGCGGTGGCGTAGTAGTCAGTGCACTGTGCCTCCAACTCGCAGACTCAAGTTCGATTCCCGATCACAGCCAAGATCGGTGATGATTATCTTAACTGGTCCTGGGCCTCCCCTAGGTCGACTCAGCCTGAAATGAGTACCTGGTGCCGTGCCCAAACATCAACAATGGGGAGACAAAGGCTCGCTAACAGCACTTGCCCCGACAGTCTGTTACAGGCTATACGGGGGATCTTTCCCTCTGGTGCCAGAGTTTCACTGGCAGTGCAGATTCATTTGTGACGGGCTGTGGAGTGGTGACTAATGCCCTGCACTATGAATCCGACCCCAGAGTCATGGCTAACATCAGTACGAAGATCGGTACTAGAAAGACAAAGGTGTCCAGGTGTGATTTCGGCCAAGTCTTTCACACCCGTCTCCATGGGTGCTCGCTAACAGCACTTGCCCCTACGGCGTACGAGGAAGGGGATATCCGTGACGTTCTATTTGCGTGCGTTGCACCTGTGCCGACGGTGCCAATGTGTATAACTTGCGTACAATGTGTTGTGCTCAACAGTTATGCGCACAAGTGTGCACGCGTGCATGCTGCATGTGACATCCCGTGGCATGCGTAAGACAAACACCGAAACACTTCACGGGAACACTAAAGCGTCGTGTTTCTTCTCGCGGAGGGAACTTCGCGGCGCCTCAGTCCGGCTCTTTGAGCACCGGCATGCCCAGCGAATCCGTACCGCATGAACGGAGGCAACGATGTCCATCACGGACAGCCCACGCCGAGTGCTCTCACAGCACAAAGCTTGCACAGCAGCAGCAGCTCGGACGCTGACGCGGGTTAATGAACCCAGCCTGTCTGTACGTAGCGACTAACCCGGCTTTAACTCGGACCATCGAAGAGGGTCCAACTAACCTCGACTAACTGGGCGGGCGACGACTGAGCTCAACGAGAAACTTCGTTTTGACAAAAGCCGACGGACGAATGACCGTGGGGGCTGCCTCGATAACGCGACGCTGGGATGTATCGCACGCACGCGCGTGCGTTGAACTTCTTTCGCGCCGTACGTAGCCGACCGTGCTAATCGGAGGTGCCGTGCCGTCCGTTCGCCAATTAATCCTCGTGCCGTGATAGGCGCAGCGCGAACTTTTTTTCGCCGGTCAAATTTTCCCGACTCGTCGTCGATTATTTTGGGCTCGGCCTTTGCCGTCCAGTTACCCTTCACCGCTCGACGCGCGAGCCAAATGAACGTCCCGGCGACGTCGTTGTCCCGACGCTGAGTTTGACGCAGGTTTGGAACCGTCGCTCGATTCGCGCTCTCCATTTGGTCGTGAGAAATTTCTTCTTCGACTTCACCGGCGAGCCGAAATCGTCAACCGATCGGCGGCGTTGTGAAACGCTCGCACACCTGACGCGCATCATCAGGCTGGTTTTAGTTTCGCCCAGGCGAGAACTCGGGAGACGGGGGGCGGATCTCAAGACGGGGAGGAGGAGGGTTCGATTGTCTGGTTGTGTTGGGCGGCGGATGCCCTCGATGGCACGTGTCTTGGGCTGGGCCGTTGCGTGGCCAAACCCAAAATATTAATCAGGAATCGTCATTAAATACTTAACTTTTTAACCGTAATTAAAAAAAGAGTACGCCAATTAAACATCTAATAAGTATCCATTGAATGAGCGCTTTGTTTCCTGGATACATTTACGGCGCGGTGGTTGCACGACGTTTTCTGACGGCACGCGCGTTACGAAGCTGCAATTATTAAAATACTCACGGCGGGGTTATTTGGGGGTAAACTCCAGTCGGAGAACTCTCAACCGTAAATCAGGGGACAAAAAACAAGACGATAAGTGATATTCCCTGACGGAGTTAAGGGAAACAGACGTAGCGACGACTCTCACGTCCAGAAATGTCTCGGCCGCCGCCGGCCCGATCTCGACAAAAACCGACATCGTGGCAACCCCCAACGCTCAGCTTGACCACAACAACCCAGCCGCACTTCCGACACTGACCCAACACCATCGCCAAACTAAACCCACCCAGCTAAACTCATCGAATAACCCGGACTAAACCCACCCCCCGCCAACTAACACCGGCCACGAGCGATCCTGCTCACCGCTCCGCACCTATTGTGTGTGCCCGTGCGTGCCCGTGCGTGCCCGTGCGAGCCAGGAGATGTCCTGAAGGCAACAGGTACGACGTAGAGTCGTCGCGAAAGCTCGCTTTCCCCAGCGGCACCGCCGCCGCCGTCGCCGCCGCCTCGTCGAGCCGGGTCTGGAAAGCGCCGTCGTTGCATGGGTAGGGCAGCACCCCGCAGCACCCCCAACCCCAGACCCCGTGGCTCCCTCCACTCTGACCCATGACCTGGGCCATCGCTAAGCGGCGCGGGCACCACGTGAGCGCGCGTCGGGGTGCCATGTGCGGCGTGCTCGCGGAAACCGACGTCGTCACACCGAGCGGGGACACTTAACGATGCTTGGCAGTGGCTGCTCGTGTGAATGTTGTCCTCGTGTGTGTAATTAATGTCCAGCGTTATGGGACGCTATTCGCGTGAATGGTGAATGAGACTACACATTGTTTTTTTTTATTATTATGCTGCTGTTGCTGTTGCTGCGTTGGCAGTGGTACACGAATGACAAAAACAACGGGGCACAAATCGTCAACACCGCCGTGGCCTCGAAGGGAAAGACAAACAATAGGGGGCACGACAGGAAGCGGGCCTTCCTCATGGCACGTACAGCAGCCCTCGCGATGCAGAAGGGTCATTTCTTTCCTTTTAAGGCCACGCAGCCATTTATTGACGGGTGCGTTGAGATTTTTTTTTGCATATATAGAAGTTCGTTCAGGGTCATTATAGAGAGACACAATAGCCAGTGTTCATATCGCGACGGTTTATCGGTTTATCGACTTCTCGAAAAGTATTTGAATCTGGCCGGATGTAAGATTACGATGTGGAAAATAACAATTAGGAGTCAACACGGCCCAACTTTCCTCTGCCACCAATACATTGAGCGGCACTTTGTGGGCAGGCAAACGTGGCTTGTTCCACGAGTCAACCTGCCCCTGCCACGGGAATGTGGAGTGTCCACCCTTGGCTCCGGGCTCAGCAATGGAGATGAGCTCGTATGAGCAGAAAGGCTCCCCCATGTCTCTATCTTGGGATGTGAGACGCGACAAAGCCACCGAACAAAGACGCTCACCTACAAAGCGGCGCTTTCAGATGCGCTTCTGCGGCCGTCTGGAACGCTCTTCCTTCCGATATTAGGACGCCACTGGAGCTACGCACTTTTAAATCATCATATAAATTGACAAATTCTTTAGAACTGCTCTACGTGCTAAGTTTGTTGTCCTTTTCCCGCACCTCCGATTAGCGCGGTTGGCTACGTACGGTGCGAAGTAAGTTCAACGTGCATGCATACACAATGGCCAGCGAGCATGCACGTGCCGCACCATTGTGTCCGTAATGTCCACTTCACAGCAGCCGGCTTACTTTGGTAATCACACCGCCGTCGTCATCTTCAGCCATGACCTCTCCACTGCTGGATGAAGGCCTTCTCAAGCTGCCGCTAATCCGATGAAATCGCTCCGTCTCCACTGCGGAGGTCTCCGTGCTGCTTGCGTTTCACGCTGGTGGCGTGTTTCGTTCGCAGCAGACCTGACGCGGTGTTGTTGTAAAGAGTTCACCGTGCGTGCGTGCGCGCGCGATCGGCGCACTCGTGACGGACTCGACTCACAGGAGTCCAATAATTCTACGGTGTTGGCGTGGGAAACAAATCCGGGGCTCGGCACGCTAAAAATACCCCATCGCTTCGCCATCTCACTCGTGCACCCCTGGGGAGTCTGCACGTTGCAGCTTTGCGTGGTGCCAGTGTTCACGCCGGCATTTGTAACAATTAAAAAAAACGTTACGGACAACTGGATTCACAAACAACAACAAAAAACAATTGTCCCGATTGTAGTTAAGGTCACGTGGGTTGACGTGGCAACAAACAAACCCACCGACGATGCATCTAAGTGGAGCTCTGGGCAGGTCCAAGACGCTGCGATGAGACGTGCAGCCTCATGCTCTGTAAAGGGGCAGTGCTAACAACAACAAAACACGAAGGCACCTCGAAGAAGCCATCGCATAATTATTCTAATAAAGTGCAATCTAAATTTACAGAGCGCCTTCACTCAAGGCGCTTGGCACGGTTCACAAAAACGGTGACACGGAGCGGAGCGGTGCCGTTGGCAGGGGGCGACCTACGGCGGACCGGGGAACGAGTGGCAGCAGCGATAGGGGGGCGCTTAGGGGGTCACGAAAGGGCTCCGGGGGAGGGATGGGGAGGGGTGGAGGGGCGAGGGGAGGGAATACAATGGACGGTAGAGAAGAGGTGAGGCTTCAAGAGAGGAACGGAGGGAGGTTAAGGAGGGGGACTGGTGGGGCGAGTGCTGTTTGTGAGTAGCACCAACTGAGGGGGTGGGTGGCCAGCACGACGCCCGGCCACCTTCTGTCTCCCTAGTGGCGATGTTTGACACGCGAGGTACTCGTTTGATGCTGAGGGCACCACGGTTGCGAGGTGTTAACCACCTTGCCTAGTATGCAGGAAGTTGTGGATTCGATCCCGACCTAGACACCGGCATATGTGGAGTTTGCGTGTTCTCCCCCGTGGTCAGCGTGGATTTTTCTCCGGCTCCTCCGGTTTCTTCCCTCCGCGTTGAGAATCAACGTCACGCGTTTACAATATTCGGCCGCTATGAATTCCCGCACGAGCCATCATTTCGTGACAGCCAGGCCGCTATCGGAGCCACGCAGCCCAGCGGAGCCCTTACCTGGCGAGGGCGGAAACACCTCGCCAGGTAACCCCTCGCCACCGTGACGGGCGGGATGGACCGCTGTGCGCTGCCACCGCTGTGACGCCGCTGTTGTGTGGTGCCGCGCGATCCCGCAGGAAACTCAAGAAGCAAGTGCAGTCCACGGAGCTGTGACGGCTCGAGACCTCTGCGTTCCCAAGAATCGCGTTGGTGATCTCTTCCCGACAGCTGCATCCCCCACCCCCCGGACCCTCCCCCCCCCCCCCACTCCTGCCCCCCCCCCCCCCCAAAAAAAAAATTCCTTTTCAGATTTTCCTTCTGCCGCATCAAACAAAAAAAGAGACGCATGCAAAAGTGAGCCCCCGCTAACTACGGCACACTGGACAGGGATTCATCGTCCGGCAGCAACGCTTTGCAAAGATGTTTATATTATTAAAAGTTTACGAGTGGAGTACAGCGCGCGTGGTGGTGGTGGGGTAAAGTGTGGGTACCGACTCCCACCTCTTCCGCGCCGTGCGGCCTGGCGAGCGTGGAAGAGTCACACAAAATGACCGCTCCAGATTAGCCGGGCCTTTTCGCCAGCAGCGCATCGTCACAGTTCCTCGTGGTCTCATCCCATAGATAAAACAAAAATAATTCACTGATATTGGCCAAACTATCGCAATGCTGAACAATACTGCTGCACGTGGCAAGCTTTCGCGACTAATAATATCCATAATAGAGGTTTTTTTGGGGGTTAGATCACGTAAATATAAAATATACAACTCTGGCTGTCGCCTGATGATGCTGGCTGATGTTGTTGTTGTTGTTGAAATTACCGGCGAAACGTCACGGCACTCGAAACGTAAACGTCGTCGTGGGTTTACTCTCCAACACACCGCTGTGCTGGAGTAGTCTCCATTTGCCACGTTTTGTTTACGTGGCAAACCTTGTCAATTGGCTGTGTTCGGGTGGTAGTGGCGTTGATACTTACGCGTTCTAACCCCACGCAAAAAAGACAAACCTCTATGGTGGTGATCGGAGAGGCATGCGACCGAGAAACCCGCACGCAGCGGGAGATACATTTGATCCGCGGAGGCGACTAATAAATTATTTTTGCGCACGGTGACACAACAAATCTAACCGTGCCACGGGCGAGAACGTTTCATCGCACGCAACATGCTCGTTGCACGTTGCATGGGAAAAGTCGTACGTCTTGTTTGTTACGGGAGCGAACGCAAATGTGCAGGCGGGACAGGACAAGCGGAGAGGCAACGCGAAACGAGACGTGGGATCGGGACGCCAGATCGTTTCACAAATCGTCAAAGAACGTCTCCGGGCGAGCGGGGATGAGTGATTGTAACACGGCCGTCTGTCTGCCTTACCCAGCCAGTGAAAGTGATGCGCGCGTGTCTGATGTCGTGTGGCTTGCCGCTATGTGCCACCACCCCGGTGGCCTGCGCCCGCTATTTCTGTCCCTCCACGTCAATGGGGCAAGGGCTCTCCAAGCCATCCCCGCCACTCTCCCCCTGAACGTGAGCTCAGCCGCGTGGGTGTGTATATATAGGTGACTGCGCAGGTGCGATGTTGTAACTAACCCCGTATTCTTGTGCAGAGGTCCATTCGTCGCACAGCCGTTTCAATACGGGCACAACCCCTTATCAGTGCCCCACCTTATCACAGACCGATTCACGCCATATCGGTCACCCCGTGCCCTTAGAAATCTCAAGGTTCATCCTACAAATTCCCATCACAAGGGAGAAACACAAATAGACCAAAAAATACAAAATAAATTGCCCGAAATTGAAACGTCTGTACACCGTATGGACGTAGAAACTGAATTTCGCTGCACAAAAACACGGGGTAAAGCATACGGCTTGGCAGCGATGCCAACATCGCCACCATCATCATCATCTTCATCCATTATCAATCCACTGCTGGATGAAGGCCTCCCCAAGCTGTTGCCAACTCTCTCGGTCTCGCCGTTGAACAACCACCGAAGTGCCTGGCCACGAACTTCGTTTCCTCGCTCCATCTCCACCCCCACCCCGCCCTGAGCTGTCACTCCGTGATGAGTCTCCACCCCAGACCGTCGTGCCTCTTCACCCCATGGGCCACTGCTGGCACGGACAACCCCAACACACCACGTGGCTGAGTAGTAACAATAGTACAGGGTGCTTCAAAAAATGTTAACACTTATACGGGACTCTGGTTTTTAATGGATGATACACTAACACGATAACAAATGTGAAGTTAATTGCTTCAAACAGTCAGAGTCTCCACTCGTTCGCCAGCATTGTCAACGCGTTGCCTGGAATCTTCTCCAGGTGGTCTCCAGAGCCCGGAGGAGGCATATTTCTCATGTTTTTTTTCTATTTAAAGCTTTCGTGACTGCAGGGATTCATCTTCTTGGTTCTTTCGGTAAAGTCACGTAGAAGGGAAATAATACATTTCAGACGCTGTCTCCCCGACAGACCTGGTCTTCACCTGAGGACGGCTGCTTGCGTTGTGGCCGAAA